GCCAGGGACACCTCAGAGTCCAGAGTGGTCTGTGCTGAGCCTTAAGGCTGTGGACAGGAGGGTTCCCAGCAGGGCCAGTGTGAGCACTCGGTAGGCTGAGTTCCATGGGGCCCTTGTTGCCGTGGCCTGCCATGCCCACACTCCCCGACATGGATCCCAGCTCTGACCTCTGGGTCACGTGGTCAGCATCAGCCACCTCCTCACTAGGCAGCCCATCAGCTTCCTCCACTCTTTCCCCTCAGTTCACATCTTCCTGTTCTGGAAGGGCAAAGCGTGTCCTCACATGGGACTCACTGCGACCCCTTCCAGAGCCCAGTGCTTCTGTCAGCTCCAGGGGGATGGGGGTTCTGCTGCTCACCGCTGTGTCCCCTAGACCTGGGGTGAGGCCTGCTGCCCGGGGGCTGTTCATTTATTCATGCTGAGTAGATTAAGACGGCAGACATCTCCCCGCCCTGGGGACATTGAGTATGAATCAGAAGAGGGCAGCCTTAGCTCCGAGGCCAGCGCTGTGTTTGGGTTGCAGGTTTTGGCAAGCCCGTGCTGTGGAGAGTTTCCTGCGAGGGACCACCTCCTACGCCGACCAGATGTTCCTGCTGAAGCGAGGCCTGCTGGAGGTACGGCTGGAAAGCAGCGGCCGGGCCCCTCTCCCCGCGGCCCCACTGCTGTGCTGTCCTGAGCCTTACGGCTCACTGGGGGCAGACTCGGGCTCTGCTCTGTAAATGCTAATGCAGATTGCCCTAGTGTTTGCCCTGACTTCCAACTGTGGCTTCCCCGTGGGTGCTGGAAGAGTGATGGAGGGACTCGGGTGACCATGCAGGAGGACAAGGGTCTGGAGTTGCCCAGCAAGGCCTTTTGACCCTGAGGATATTTTGATCTGACTGAAAATAATTTTCCTTTATTGACTCATGTCCTTCAGAAAAACATTTACAAAAAGGGAAGATAGAAAAACGGCCAGATTATAGTTTTAGAAAGATATGGACAAGAAACTGGCTCATGAATTTATGTAAAATCCATATGGGAAAGAAAATAATCCAAATCAGTGTAGCTTCAAGAACATGAAATGTTAAATGTTGGAAACCATTTAACTATCATGGAACACGTCATCAAGGAGGTAAAAATTGGCTTAGCTCTTGATAAAAAACTCATTGCTTTTGGTGTTTTTAAATGGTTCCATTCATAAACACACAACCACAGGGTCACAGTGTGTCCGGTGCCCTTCCTTTACTTGGGTGGTCGCAGTGCCAGGGCAGTGGCTGATGCCAGAAGTGAGATCTGCAGAGCACAGAGCAGGTCAGCCCCAGCTGAGCCTGAGCACGAGAGGGAGGTGTGCCACGCTCCCAGCCCACCGCTCCTGGCCAGGTGCGTCAGCCTGACCTGCGCTTGGTGCCGCCAGCATCCTAGGCCAAGAATCTACGTGCGGCTGAGGTTCCGTGGACCGGGTGCTTGCTCAGAACAGATGTGTGGTGTGATCTCTGTGCCAGTCCCTGTAGGAGGCAAGTTGGGGCCGACCCAAGTCCCACCCTGGTCACCCTGTCCCCTTGTCGTGCCCAGCATATTCTGTACTGCATTGTGGACAGCGAGTGCAAATCAAGGGATGTGCTCCAGAGCTACTTCGACCTCCTGGGGGAGCTGATGAAGTTTAATGTTGATGCATTCAAGAGATTCAATAAGTACATCAACACTGATGCAAAGGTAAGGTCAGGCTATGGCTCTCTGAGGGTTGCTGCATTGTCCAGAAGTTACCTTGGAGCCCTCGTCTGCCAGTCTGGAAACTGGAAAGTGCTGGGGACTCTGTGGCAGTCTTCAGTGAATATTCCTAGCTCCTACTCTGCCGAGTACCTTGCTAGACCCTGGGAACGTAAACAAAAATCTTGGCCGCTTGAGGGTGGGGCTGTGAAACTGCAGTAGGTGCCACTGGGGGAGCCCCAGGCAGGAGGCACCAAGCCTGGTGTGACAGACTCAGAGCAGTGGGGTAAAGCTCGCTTTAGGGCCCAGCGCCTTCTGTGCAGAAGCCTAGACAGAGGGCTGGGCTGAGCTGCAGCGCTCAGCAGCTGGGTGGGAAGGATGGTCACTCAGCTCGTCTGTCTCCGGATCCCTGTCTGTGATGCCAGGGGCCTTGCAGGGACTGCCCACGTGGGCCACGGCCATCCCGGCCTGCAGCCCACTGCCCCCATGAGCCCCGGCTGTGCTGCAGTTCCAGGTGTTCCTGAAGCAGATCAACAGCTCCCTGGTGGATTCCAACATGCTGGTGCGCTGCGTCACTCTGTCGCTCGACCGATTTGAAAACCAGGTGGATATGAAAGGTAAAAGGCCAGGATGCTGGGCAGCTGGGTCCAGTGTGACCATGCTTGAGCCAGCACATGGCCTGCAGCAAGGAGATGGGAATGACCGCGTGGCTGGTGTCGGGGGCTCTCCAACACACTTTGGAAAGGAAAAAACCCATTGTTGCAGCAAAAAGCAAACCAAAACAGTAACTTTGCTCTTGTAGGCTGGGATTGCCTGTGTAAGCTGGAGTGCTCCGTCCTGTCCCCAGTCTGTAGTGTTCCCCTGGGCGGACTCGGGGGGGTGGGGGTGACTGAGCTCACCTGGAGTTGCTTGCACACATGATATGTATGTGCGCATATGCTCCCCTCCCCCCCCACCCCCGAGGGTCTGTTAGACTGACATGGGTCCCTCATTAAGTCCCTGTCATGGATGGCAAGAAGTCATTTGGGAATTGAGGTGTTGACCCCCTTTTTCTGCCCCAGAGGGTTTATTCCGGGGCACAGTCAGCTGTTGTCAGATGTGGGTACACGCTGTGACCCCAACAGTGGACGCTGGCACTGTGACAGCGGTGGGGGAGCCATTCCATTAGGAGCTCTGGAAGATGGATCAGGCTTGCGTTCATTGTTTTTCTTGATTTAGGGCCGTTAATTTGGTCTCGTTGTGTAGAGAGGAGGGCCTATAGGACCAGGAGGGCTGCCCCCGGCAGGGCTGGGAGGAGAGTGCACGCCCAGCTGGCAGAACACCTGGACCTGAGCCTGCTCATCATTCTGCTTTCCTCCACAGTGGCCGAGGTCTTGTCCGAGTGCCGCCTGCTGGCCTACATATCCCAGGTGCCCACGCAGATGTCCTTCCTCTTCCGCCTCATTAACATCATCCACGTGCAGACACTGACCCAGGTAAGAGGCCCCAACGGACACCTGGAAGCCGCTTCCCTCATCCTGGAGCCAGCAAGTTTGTATCTCCCACCCTACTCTGGAGGTACAGCTCTGGGCCATTGCTCTAAGGATTTGCCATAAAGCTGGGCCCTTGGAGGGGCGGCACTGTGTTCTCGACTCCCAGTCCGGTGCCAGTCTCCAGTGCTCCACATCCCTGTCCCTCTTACTCTGCCGGGCTGTGGAACCCAACCTCCCTGCGGTCGCCTCGCAGCCCTCACTTCTCGAGCTCACCCTCCACCCTGGGATGGTGGCTGGTGGTGGTGGGCCTCCTCCTGTCGAGGCCGCCCTGGGGGGCAGTGCTCGAGGAACGGGCAGACCCTGCCTCTTCCCAAGCGAGCTCACAGTGAGAGCCGAGTGCGGGCTGCCCAGTGAGACCACCGCTCCTGACACGTGCACCCAGCCTGCCTGGGCATCGGAGCTTTGCTGGAGCCAAGGTCAGCCAAGGACAGAGTTGCTGTCAGAGTTGGGGAGGGGCTGGCACCCTCCTTTCCCCAGTGCAGTCTCAGGTCTGTGCGGAGGCGGCTCAGCGGACTTGACTAGGGCGCTGTAGGGCCAGAGCCTGAAGCAACCCTCCTCTCTGCCCAGTGGCTGCCCAGGCTCCTTGGGGGCCACTGAGGCTCCCGTGTGGCCCTGACCTTGCTGGCCCTCGGCCTTGCAGGAGAACGTCAGCTGCCTCAACACCAGCCTGGTGATCCTGATGCTGGCGCGGCGGAAAGAGCGGCTGCCCCTGTACCTGCGGCTGCTGCAGCGGATGGAGCACAGCAAGAAGTACCCTGGCTTCCTGCTCAACAACTTCCACAACCTGCTGCGCTTCTGGCAGCAGCATTACCTGCACAAGGACAAGGACAGCACCTGCCTGGAGAACGTGAGCGCCTGCCTCGGGGCGGGGGAGGGCGGGGCGGCGCTCTGCCCCCTTACTGAGGCCCCCCCGTGGGGAGCAGGCTTCCCCCAACCTCCCTCTCTCTGCTCAGAGCTCCTGCATCAGCTTCTCGTACTGGAAGGAGACAGTGTCCATCCTGTTGAACCCGGATCGCCAGTCACCGTCTGCCCTTGTCAGCTACATCGAGGAGCCCTACATGGACATAGACAGGGACTTCACCGAGGAGTGACCTTGGGCCGGGCCTCGGGAGGATGCAGAGCCAGGGCCAGTGTGGGTGAGCGTGGGTACGCAGGCCACACGCCCTGCCCTGCTCCTATCCCTCCCCTGCCTCCCCGCTGCTCTCTGCCTGCCCCAGGTCTTCAGGTCCAGGTGTGGTAGGAGAGGGCGTCCTACAAGCCCTGGGCCTCAGGTCACTGGGGAGCCTCAGTTCCCTCAAGATCCCCATGAGGAAGACGAGGGCACCATGCCTACGCTTCCCACAGGGGCCTGGCCCCCCTAGAGATAAGGGACTTTTAAAAAAAGCTCTGTCTGAGCTGTCAGTCCTGCGGTGTGGAGGGATGGGATGTGTCTCCCCCGTCCCTGGCCTCCAGGCCCAGGCAGAAGAGAAGCTTCTGAGCCCCAGGCGGGGTGGGGGCACCAGAGCGCACTGCTCTCCCCCAGCCTGCCCCTCCCTCGTTTCCCTTTAGCTCCTCTGGTTCTGTTTGCTCTTTGGCCGCTGTGTTCATCCCAGGGGTTCCCCCCAGAAGTGGGGGGCCTTTTCTCTCCCTCCTGTGGGACACGGGGTGGCTGTGCCTGCCCCACCCCTGCCCCAGGGCAGCGTCTCCTGCCTGAGCCCAGACACAGGAGCCTGGCTGGGAGCCCACCCTCAGCCCCTCCTTGTGTTGCCAATTTATTAACAGCAAATAAACCAATCAAATGGAGACTATTAAAGAACTTTATTTTAAATGACTGATGTGGACTGACTTTTGTCCGTTGGGTGGTGTGTTCCCCCAGCCCACCCCCGGAACAAGAAGGGCACCTGCAGGTGTTTACTCAGAGCCGGGGCAGGCAAGGCAGGATCGCAGCAGCCGTCACTCCTTGTGCTAGGGGAGAGGGCGGGCTCAGGGAGCTGTACCTCCACCCCTGCCACCTCCATGCCGGGGCCCCCAACTCACCTTGGGCCCCAGCGCGTCCCGGGTCCGTGCCCGCAGCTTGTTGGCCTGGGTCTCTGCCATGTCTGCCCGTTCCTCTGCGTCATCCAGCTCGTGCTGGGCCTTGCGATACTTAGCCAGGTTGGTGCTGGCCTGCTGCTCCTGGGGACATACCAAAGGGAGACCAAGGCCCTGTGTAACAGATGGTCACTCTGGTGCCCACTCCCTCCCCACCGGTCCTCAACTCCCACCACCATCATCCCCGCTCAGGCAGTCCCGTGGCAGGAACAAGGAAGATGAGACTCCGGTGCCAGCCTGGCAGGTGGAAAGGACGCAGGGGCCGCTGCAAGAGACGGAGCCGGTCTGGTCTCCTCTGGGAGCTGTTGGGGAACTCCTTCCCACTGGGAGCAGGGCCTGCTGCGGCCTCACACTGGCCCAGCTCAGCTGTGCTGACCAGTCTGGGGTCTCAGTGCACTCACCGCCTCCTCAAACTGGCGCTTGTAGCTCTTGACCTTGCTCTGCAGCTTGTCTACCAGGTCCTGCATGCGAGCCAGGTTCTTCCTGTCCTCCTCGGCCTGGGCAGGCAAAGGGGCCTCAGGGCTGGCCTGCGCTGGCCAGGTCTAGGGCCACCCCCAAGGCAGACGCTGCCACCCACCTGGTACGCAAGTTCCTTGACCCGGCGCTCGTGTTTGCGCACACCCTTGAGGGCCTCAGCATGCTTCTTCTGTTCTGCATCAAGCTCTGCCTCCAGTTCCCGTACCTGCGGGTAGCCGGGGGCTAGGCCTGCTGGTGGAGCCCGCCCCGGCCCCCCACTTGCCTGTGGAAGGCCTGGAGGGGGCGCACACACCTTGGCCTCCAGCTTCTGCACCTGCTTCTTCCCGCCCCGGAGAGCGGCCTGCTCCGCCTCCTCCAGCCGAGCCTGCAGCTCCCGCACCGTCTGCTCCAGCGTCTTCTTCATGCGTTCCAGGTGGGCACTCGTGTCCTGCTCCTTCTTCAGCTCTTCGGCCATCATGGCTGCCTGCGGTGCGGAGGTGACGTGTTGGAAAGTGACCAGCCCGGGGGCTCTGGGCTTCGTCCTGGGCCCTGGCAGGCCGCCCCCAGCCTCACGTCAGTGATGGCCTTTTTGGCCTTCTCCTCTGCCTCCCGCCGCTCCTGGGCAGCTTCTTCCACCTCCCCGCTCAGCTGCGCCAGATCTGCCTCAAGCTTCTTCTTCTGGCCCAGGAGGCCGGTGTTCTGGGGGGCGGGGCGGGGGAGCGTCAGAGGGGGCCCGCAGGCCTCACTCGCCCAGCCCCCCGGCCCCGTCTCTACCTGTGAGTGCAGCAGGTTGAGGCGCTCCGTGGCCTCCAGCAGCTCCTGCTCTGCCAGCCGCCGGCTGCGCTCACCCTGTTCCAGGACGGCCCGCAGCTCTTCCAGCTCAGCAGCCACCAGCGCCGCCCTGCGCTCCAGAGCCTGCGACTGCTCCCGCAGCTCGGCTGCCAGCCGCTGCTCCTCGTCACGCCCCGCCTGCTCCTCCTTGAGCTGCGCCTGCAGCAGCCGCGTGGCTGCTTGCGCCTCCGTGGCCTGGCGGTTGGCGTGGCCCAGCTGCAGCTCCAGGTCATTGAGGTCACCCTCCATCTTCTTCTTGAGGCGCAGCGCCTCATTGCGGGCCCGGGTCTCTGCGTCCAAGGAGGCCTGCAGGGACTCCACTGCCCGCTGGTGGTTGCGCCTGCAGGGCGGGGAAGAATGTTCCGCAAGCAGCACAGGAGCAGGCCCAGGGACCAGCCCTGCCGGAAATAGAAACCAACAAGTAGTCCCTCCCTGGCTTCAAGTCCCTTGTGGCTGCCCATCAGAGCGAGTTCATGGGCACAGGCGAGGATTCTCGAGGCAGGCAGATGCGCCCTGAACTGGCTCAGGCTGTGTGACCCTGGGCAGGTTCTGCGGCCTCTCGGGTTCACTTTCAGGAGGGATGGCCCTGACCTGAGCAGGCCATGTTGCGAGGCGGGTGAGATGCCTGTGCCAGCCATGTTTCCTTCCTGCCCCTCACCTCGGGGGGCTGGGGGAGGCGGGCTGGACATACCTCAGGTTAGTGCACTCCTCATCTTTCTCCGCCAGCTTCCGGTCCACTTCCGCCTTGACCTGGGACAGCTCCAGTTGGATCCGCAGAGTCTTGGTCTCCTCCAGCTCCAGAGCCCCCTGGGGACACCGGGGGTGTGGGCTCAGGGCAGGAAGGCCAGGGAAGCGGTCAGCACCCCCCTACCCTGTGGCCAGCCCCTGACCTCTGCCTCCTCCAGGGCGGCCTGCAGCTCGCTCTTCTCCCCTTCTAGCGCCTTCTTGGCTTTCTCCAGTTCCTGGATGCTCTTCCCACTGAGGCTGACCTGGTCTGTGAGGTCGCTGATCTCCTCTGCAGCGGGACAGGGCTCTGAGCAGCCTCCTCCCAGGTCCCATGCCTGTGTGACCCCGAAGTGCTCCCAGCCCGGGTCGTACCCTGCAGGTTCTTGTTCTCCCGCTTGAGCGTCTCCAGGGCCTCGAGCGCCTCCTCGTGGCTGTGCCGCAACCGGAAGAGCTCCGTGCCCAGGCCGCGGGCCTCCCTCTGCGCCGCCTCCAGCTCCCGCTGTGTCTCCTCCTCCTGCCGCCGCCTCTCCTCCAGTGCCCGCTCCAGATGCCGCTGCTTCTTGTCCAAGGCGGCGGCGGCCGAGGTGGCCCGCTCCAGCTCCAGGGTCACGTCCTCCGACTCGGTCTGCAGCCGCAGCTTGGCCTTCTCCAGGGATGAGCACTTGGCATTCGCAGCCTCCACACCCTCCTCTGCCTCCTGCAGCCGCAGGGCCAGCTTCTTCCTAGGCCGTGGGAACATGCGCGGTGAAGACCGGGGAGGGAGGCTGGCAGAGGGGCATCTCCACGTGGCCATCCTCCCCAGGCACTCACTTGGCCTCTTCCAGCTCCTCGGTCCTCTGGATGGCATCTGCTTCGTACTTGCTCCTCCACTGGGCCACCTCGGCATTGGCCTTGGACAGCAGCCGCTGCAGCTCGGCCTGGGCCTCGGCCTCCTCCTCATGCTGCTCCCGCAGGAGGTCACAGTCGTGCCGCAAAGCCTGCACGGCATGAGCCAGCGCACTCTTGGCCTGCAGGGATACCGATGGCCTCAGCAGCGGTCCAGGCCGGCAGCGCCAGCGCCCCCAGCACTCCACGGCCGCCGCTGCCGGCCCACCTTGCTCTCCTCCTCCAGCTGCCGCCGCAGCTCCTCCAGGCTCTGGGCAGCAGAGGCCTTCCCACGGCTCAGCTGGCTGACCAGGGCCTCCTTCTCCTCCAGGAGGCGGCTCAGCTCCCCTGCAAAGCAGGCAGGTCAGCTGGGCAAGGGGCAACACCAGGGCCCTGCCCAGCGCGGCCTCGCTGAAACCCCAGCCTCACCGCTCTCGGTCTGCAGCCGCCCGCGCTGGGTGCTGGCATCTGCCAGCTGCCGCTGCAGCTCCTCCACCTTGATCTTGGCCTCGCTCAGCTGATCCTCATAGGTCCGGCACAGCTTCTCTGCACTGGCCTGGGATCCAGAGTCAGGCATCAGGAAAGGTTGTGCCACAGAGGGCAGGATCTAGGAGCGGGAGCTAGAAAGCCATATGTGCTCCCGGAACCACAGGGAGGTCAAAGCATCAAGTTCAGGGTCAGAGACTCTGCTGCTGGTCTCCTGGCTTAACAAGCAGGCATCAGACATGGGATGATGGAGTCAAACCCAAGGCCAGTGGCGCAGGTAAGCGTTAGATTACTAGATGTGGCGTCAGCTGGGGACAGTGGTGCGAGGTCACCTGCCGGGACTAGAGGGCACAAAGGTCAGCAGCTAAGGTTAGGTCTTGGGTTCAGGAAAGGCCAGGCAGGACAATATTCGGTCAGTCCAGGACTCCCAGGCCAGCCGGTGTCACAGCTGTTGGGTGAAAGGTCTGAGGTTGGAATTGCCAACTGGGTCAGCAATGAGCAGGGAACAGGGCCAGGAGTCAGGGTTTGAGGGCAGGACTGGGAGATGCCAGGCTAACGGGGAGGGAGCAGGCGGGTCCAGGGTCAGGTCTAGAGGGAGGTCAGTGCTGGCACGTGGTGACGGGTCCAAGAGGGAGCTCAGCTGCTGGGATCAGAACTGGCTAAGGCAGGGGTCGCGTGTCAGGCCGAGGCAGACGGCAGAGACCTTGCCTCGGGCCAGCGTCTCCACACTGGCCCCCAGATCGTCCACCTCCATGCGCAGCTCGCTCTTCTCCTTCTCCAGCTTCTGCCGCACCCGCTGCAAACTGTCCACCTGCTCCCCCAGCTCGGCCGCGCTGTCGGCCTGCTTGCGGCGCAGGGCAGCCACCGTGGCCTCGTGCCGCAGCGCCGCCTCCTCCAGCTCCCGCCGCAGCCGCCCCAGCTCAGCCTCGCGCCTGCGGCAGCCCTCGCGCTGTCCGGCCGACGCACCTCCCGCCTCCTCCAGCCGCTCGCTCAGCTCCTCCAGCTCCCGGGCCGCCTCGGCCCGCTGCTTCTCCACGCGGGCCCGGGCCGCCCGCTCGGCCTCCAGCTCCTCCTCCAGCTCCTCGGCACGTGCCTGGGGCGAGCGGGGACACGAGGGTGGCGGTGGCCGCTGCGGCTGCCGCCCCAGCCTCCCGCCAGACCCCTGCGCACCTGCAGCTCCTTGATCCTCTTCTGCAGCTGGGCGCCCAGGAGCTGCTCATCTTCCACCCGCAAGGTCAGCTGACTCAGCTCCGAGTCCTTCCTGGGAGCGCACGGTGGGGGTGCCTGCTGCAGCCGGGCACCCCCTCCCACGCCTGCTGTCCTGGGCCCCGCCACCTACTTCTGCCCTGGCAAGGGAGGGCAGGACCCCAGCTCTCGACCCCACCCCCGGCCTCTGCAGAGCCCTGGGAGCCGCCGCCGCCCCGCCCTGCGCCCCGCCCTCACTTCTTCAGCTTCTCTTCCAGCTGCTGCTTGTCCTGGGCGGCGTCCGCCGCGGACTCCTGTGTGAGCTTCAGGTCGCCCTCTAGCTTGCGCTTGGCCCGCTCCGTGTCTAAACGCAACTTCTTTTCCTGCTCCAGGGAGCACTCCAGCTGCGGGGCCAGGTGCGCCTCAGCGTCGCGGGGCAGCCAGCGCCCAGCCCGCGGCAGCCCCAGCTGCGACCCTGACTCACATCCTCCACCTGCTGCTCCAGCCGCAGCTTGGCCTTGGCCAGCGCGCTCACGCGGTCCTCCTCGGCCTGCAGGTCCCCCAGGGCCTGCTGGTGCGCCTCCTGCAGCGCCTTCTTCTCCTTGGTCAGCCGGGCCACCGACTCGTCCAGCGTGGCCATCTCCTCCGTCAGGTTCTTCACCTACGTCAGGGCCAGGCTCACTGTGGGACCCACCTCCTGCACCCTGGCCAGAGCAGCCACCAGGCCAGCTCTGGGGCTGGGGCAAGTCCCTTCACTCCCAGCCTCTGACTCCTACAGCCTGAAGGGGCGACAGCCTCCCCCTCAGGCTATGTCGAGGGCTCACTGAGCGAGGGCTCCCAGCGCCCGGGCCAGCGGCAGAGGTCACTGGTGCCAGCTACTGTGGCATCAGCAGGCTTCCAAGATGGCTGGTTTCCTCGGGGCTACCTGTGGGAGCCTGAACTAGCAGCTTGGGGCCCCCACCTCACTTGAATGCCTGCATAATGCAGTTGGTACGCTGAGGCCACAAACCAGTGGCCTGGGAGGGCTCGGGGACGGAGGCACCCAGGGCACACACAGCCAGGATTTCCGCCCCTGAGGGGCCCGCGGTCCAGGATGGATGACGCTTGCTAGCGTTTCCTGAGCTCCTGCTGCATACACGGCCCCGTGGCTGTCAGCAGAGACCTGTCCGCGTAGCCCCCGCCGCCCCGCAGGCACTGCTAACGCGTCTGAGGCCCTGCGAGGCAGTGACCGGCCACACCTTGTTCTCCGTGGCTTGCTTCTCCTTCTCGGCCTTGGCCAGCGTCAGCTCCAGGTCGTCGATGTCCTTCTTGAGCTCCGTGCACTCGTCCTCCAGCTTGCGCCGGCGGGCAGCCAGCTCAGCGTTCACCTCCTCCTCGTCCTCCAGCCGCTCGCTCAGCTCCTTCACCTTCGCCTCGAGCTGCACCTTGGACTTGATCAGCAGGTGGCAGCGCTCCTCCGCATCCGCCAGGTTGTCCTGCTCCTGCAGGGGGCACCACAGGGCAAGGGCAGCCAGCTGAGGACCACCAGGCCGAGTCGTGCACGGCTCGGTGGGCGTGGGCGGGGGAGGCTGCAGGAGAGGGATGCCCGGGGCAGAAGTGGCACCATCGAGAGGGGAACATGAGACAGGCCAGGGCCTCCCAGCCTGAGGCCCAGGCAAGGATCTGGGAGGAAAGCCCCCGGCCTGCTCCCCTCTATTGGGCTGAAGTGGGCAGCAGTGGGTGTGCGGGGCCTGCACGGCCATGGAGGGGCTCCCGAGGTCAGCTGTGGAGGGCCCGGGTGCTCGTTCCCCGCATTTTCTCACTGAGTGGCTGCACCACCATCCCCTGCCTGGGCAGCAAGTTTCACAGCTCCAGGGCTGCCGCTGCCTTACACCCGAGGCCCCTCTGCCGCCTCCCTGGAGCCGGGTGCTGAGGGAGGGAAATCACCTTGGGGAGACCCCGACGTCCTGCCCCCCAGTTCCCACGGCCCTGAACCATGGGGTGGGGGGCAGCAAGGTGGAGAGGGCGGGGGACTTCAGCTTCTCTGCAGCTTTAGCAGGAGCCGGGGGCACTGGGGTGCAACACGGAGGCCACGTAGGGACCACGGCAGACCTTGTCTCGTGGCACCCGGGAGTGGGAAGCAGAAAGGTCCAGCCTAGGCCTGAGCACCGGAGCCCCCCAGGCCGCCCTGGCAGTGCATGGCAGGGGCGGGAGGTGGATTCCTGGGAGCAGCCCAGGGTTCTCGGGGCACCAGGTCACAAGGGAAACCCCTCGCTCCCCGCCCCCAACTCACCGCCTGCAGCTGCAGGGCCAGGTCGTTCTTCTCCTGCATGACACTGACGTGCGTCTCCTCCAGCTCCTGCCGCTTGGCCTCAGCAGCGGCCAGTGCCCCGCGCAGCCCCCGCAGCTCCGCCCGCAGGGCCGCCAGCTCCTCCTCGGCCTGTGCCGAGCGCAGCAACGGCTTCATCTTTGAAAAAGAGCTTCATCCATGACCAGTTCTTGACAGCATTGAAAGCTCGGATGTTCCACTGGATGGTGAACAGGGCATCCCTGCGGAGGCACGGCCCCGGCTCAGGAAGCAGGCTCCATTCCATGGCCGCTCCCTGAGCCACTACTTGGGGCTGGGCCTCCCACCGGTACGTGGCCTGTGCCAGCCCATTCGCCCTTCCTGACAGCCCTCGCAGGTCCCAATGCCTCTGCTGTGGAAGTGAGGCTGGGGAGGGGCCCCCAGGTCTGCCTCCAGGGCAGGGGCTGGGTGGTCAAGTCCCCCAGCTGTGGGATCAGAGTAGGACAGCCCAGCTGTCCCGGGATGCGGCAGCTGAACAGAGGCGAGCACAGCACCTGCCTCTTAGAGCCGCCCTGTGCTTCACCGCGCAGGCAAACACAGCATCTGGCCCGAGGCTGGGCCTCGAGGCTCTTGGCAAACACCCGATACAGTGACCACCTCCCAGTCACCAAGTCAGCCTGCCTGGAGTGGAGAGGCCGGGTCTGGAGGGCACAGGTCTGACCATGGGCAGTGGGACAGAGAGTGGAGAGGGCCATGGTTCCAGCATGTCCCTTAGATTTCGTGGGTTGGCAACTGAATCCCCGAAGTCATGGGTTAACGGTATGACAGGAGGACCTCTGCTGGGTGACTGGGTCAGGAGGGCTCTGCCCTGGGAAACAGGTTCATCCACAGCCGGGTTAATGGGTGGGGGTTAGCAAGGCAGTGGCTTTGTTAGGAAAGCAGCACCTCACGCGAGTGTGTCTGGCCGTGGGCTGCCCTCCCATGCCCTCCCTGGATGCCAGCAGATGCCGGGGCGGGCTCGCATGGGCCTGGATCGTCTATCAGTTACCCAGTCTAGAGTATTCTCTTACAACAACAGAAACCAGGCTAAGACAGAGCCTGTGGGTCCGTGAGCTGAAGAATGTGGCTGCACCCCCGCCTCGCTCCCCCCATCCCCTCCCACACCCACCTGCCACCCAGCAGGCGCTGGTACTCCAGGCGCATGAGGCGGCCCCGGCTGCGTGCTTGCAGCAGCGTCAACACCTTGGCCAGACGCTGGTCACGGAGCTCCTCCAGGACGCCCAGAAGCCCTGCCTTGAAGAACACCTGGGGACAGAACGGGGGCGGCCAGGTGTGACTCCTGGCCGGTGCAACCACCTACAGCCACAGGCGGCCCTAACTCCAGGGCACCCCAACCTTGGTGTGGCCAAACTGGTACTGCGTGTGGTCAATGTCCAGAGAGCCCAGCAGTTTCTCAGTGGCCTTCCTGCTGTCCACGAAGGTGTCATCTGGGATGGCGCTGGGGTTCAGGATGCGGTACCTGGAGGGCGGGGGGCACAGGTCACTGAGGAGGCCACTGGGTTGCTGGGGCTGAGGGAGGCACTGGACGCTGGGGGACTGGGCATCCTATGCTCAGAGCCCTTGCGGGCAGATAACCACATTCAGTTCGCTTCAAAAGAGCTTGGAGTTTTTATAAAAGGGATGTGTTACTTTTGTCATTTTTTTAACAGGAAAAAAAAAAAGAAACATAAAGAAGGTGACCTGCTGTCTAACCCACCAACAGAAGAAACATCTGAGAGGATTTTAACCCCAAAGAGCAGGGCTTCCCGACACACCCACCTCTGCAACGGGCACGTGCGTGCACAGGGCTGTGGGGGCCCGGTGAGCTGGCCACGTCGCAAAGGCATAGTCCCCAAAACAAGTGGGCCCATCAGGTAGCTCTCAGGGAGAGCATGCGGCTTGGTAGAGCAGGGGATGCCGCACGGCCATAAAGGGTGCTGACACAAATGCACGCCTGTTGACAGGGCCCACCCTCCGAGGCAGTCTGTTCGGCACCATGCGCGTGCAGCCCCACGTGTGACCTGGCAGGTGGCCATCTGGTCATGAAGGCTGCTGGAGGAGGAAGCAGCTACGGACACCCGGCACCTGACAATACACCACCACTGAGGGCGGAGCGGGCAGCAGGTGGCACTGGCAGCTCCGGGTCCTGCGTGGCTCTGCCTGCAGCCCAGAGCTCCAGGCTAACAAACCCAGTCTCCTCGGAGAGCAGCCACTGTAGACATCCCAAACTTGCTGTGCACAAAGCAGAACTCGAACCCCCATCCCCTCATGCTGCACCCAATCACAAAGCCCCATCCTTGTATCTCAGGGCATCTACCACCCCCCTCTCCAGCTGCCCAGGCCCCAAGGCTGGGAGTCACTCTGGTTTCTTCTTCTCTGTCCAAGCCATTGGCCAGGCCTGTTGCTCTACATCCCATCCTGACCTCAAGCCTGCTCACAGCTCCCCCCAGGTACCCTCCCAGCTTGGTGCCTCCCCCATCTCCCCCTGGGATACCTGCCCAGCCTCTCCCTGTCCTCTGCTTCCCGAGTCCGGAGCCTATGTCTGCCCATAGGGGGACCCTCAGGCTGCGGCTCCACCTGCAGAGAGGGCAGGGGGAGGTGGTGTAGGCGGGGCAGGGAGCCACTTACCGCTGTCGGAAGTCGGCGTAGAGTAGCCTGTTGGGGAATCCTTGGCGGCAGATCCGGATCCCCTCCAGGACCCCATTACAGCGCAGCTGGTGCAGCACCAGGAAGGCATCCATGACCCCTGGATGTGGTAGGGTTAAAGGAAAAGGTCAGAGGTCAAGACCCAGGGCTGGCTTTGAGGCTGTGCGATCCCCAACTTCCTGGTCCCTGCCCTGTCATCCCCTCCCACACACACACACCACGTTTCCTTTGGTGTACCCCGGCCCCCACAAAGCCAGCCCTGCAGGTACTACCTGGGGTCTTGTTCTCATTGGGGACAATGCAACGAACAAAGTGGGGCTGTGTGGCCCGCAAGTTGGTCATCAGCTTGTTGAGGTTCTCCTGGGAGTGGGGAGAGTGGGGAGCAGGGAGAGTGGGGAGCAGAGAACCAGGATTGGACGCCGCAGTGGCACAGGACATAAGGACCAGAGAGAGGCACCTGGGTCGCCCCGTGCTCCCATCTGAACAGTGCCCACTCTGGTGCCCCGGGACCCTGTGCCCATTCCCATCACCACCACTGGGGTCTGCCCTCCCCAGCAGACCCCAGCCCTTCCGGTGGCCCACACTCTGCCAGACGGCGTGGGAACGGGAAGCAGCACAGACTTGCTGTGATGTTCACGTGGAGAGGAATTAAACATCACTGCAAGTCTTAACGGCTGCCCGCCCAGGGCGCAGGGGATGGGCCAAGAAGAGAGGGGTAGGGTGGGAGGCTGGCGAGGGTGAAGGCCCATGCAGGGCCCGCACCAGGCCTCACCTTGTGCAGCTGGGACACCGTCTGGAATGACGCTGCCTTCTTGCGCTTCTCTTTCACCCCAGACTTGGGGGGCTCAGCTAGGAGAGGCATGGATCCGTCACCCCCTGGCATGCCACCCCGTGAGCCCCCGTGCAGTGGCATGCCTGTCCCGTGTACTCACTGGAGCAGGAGCCTGTGTAGTTCTCATAGAGAGCAGCCAGGAGCTTGTTCTGGGACTTCTGGAAGATGGGGACCACTGTCTCATTCAGGGGGTCCTTGTTTTTCTCCAGCCAGCCCACAATGCTGTAAGGTACCTGGCAGACAAGACCAGGGCTGAGCAGTGGGGCAGTGGAGGGCAGGGCCTGGCGGGGCTGGGGTTCCAGGGTCACCTACCACGCCTGCGTAGTGGACCACCTCGAAGTGGGCCTGGTACTTGCGCTTCTTGTCAGGCCGAGGCTGCTGGAAATTGGGCGACTTCCCCGCGTGGTTGTCGTAAAGTTTGGCCCGGAAGCTGGCATCTGAGGCCTTGGGGAACATGCACTCCTCCTCCAGGATGGACAGGATGCCCAGCGGCTGTTGACAGGAAACACGCACGAGGACACTGACCTGGCGGCCCTGCCGCCCCCGCCGCCTCCCTCTGGGAGTCAGTCCAGGCCCCGGTCTCCCCAGGGTGTCAGGGAACACCCGCACTCCATGGGCCCCATCTTTGTTTTAAAAAGATTATTTCTCTTTATTTGAGAGGCAGAGAGAGAGGGATCTTCCATCTGCTACTTCTCTCCCCAAATGGCCACAACAGCTGGGGCTGGGTTAGGCTGAAGCCAGGAGCTTCTGCTGGGTCTCCGACACAGGTGCTGGGGCCCAAGCACTTAGGCCATTTTCAGTTGCTTTTCCAGGCCATTAGCAGGGAGCTGGATCAGAAGTGAAGCAGCCAGGACTTGAACCAGTGCCCATGTGGAACTCCCACGCGACAGGCAGCAGCTTTACCCGCTACACCACAGCGCCAGCCCCAAGCCCCATCTTCTAAGAGAAAAAGTCTGTGTCTTGGCGCCTGACCCCCCCTGCACAATCAGTAGCACTGTGTTGTCCTCTGCTGATGAAAAGTGTGCAAACCCAAACCGCCATCTCTGGATCTACTCTCACCTCTGACACTCATGGCACACCTACATGTACACACACACACACAGAGTAAAATTTAAAAGAAAAAAAAAAAAAAACGCAAGAGCCCCAGGTTCACATTTCGGCTTCTTTACTTGCTGGCTGTGGGACCCTCAGACCTCACTAAGCCTCCATTTCCTGACCTGCAAAACCAGGGAATGAGCATGGCCAGGGCCGCCACCTTGTACCAGTGAAACAGCGGCCCTTGAACCTAAGTGCCCAACAGCAGGGATCCCGGGAGTGCCTCGTGTGGAAGCCGCCTGCTGCACGCAGCGCTCTTTCCTCCGAACGCGTTTCCAGAGGAACAGCAGGGCGTGAGGGGGCTAGTTCAGGAAAGAAAGGGGGTGCCCAGGACTGGGGTTTAAGAGGAAATGAGCTCCAGGGCCACAGCCTGTGGCAGGATTGGGGGAAACGTTTTTTTTCTATTTCCTAATTTTCAGATTTTTCTTTCCTCCCTTTGCACAATGGGGAGCTATACGTGTGTCATGTTTCACAATCAAACAAGTAAGGACACACACCCTGACGGCCCGCAGGCCAGTTCTGAGGATGGAGCGCAACTGTGGCCACCGGGGAGCCTCGTGAACAGCAAAGCCGGGCACGGGCACGCCAGGAGCGGCTGCCGTCAGCAGCCCGGGATGCACACACTGTGCACTCACCAACACTCATTCACACTCAAGTCCAGCACGTTTATTCACACGCACGCAGTCACAAGCACTCACGATCCACACACTGACCTCGGCGCACAAGCACACACATGCACACTAACCAGGCTTGCTCACCTCCGAGCACGGGGTCGTTCCTGCTCACTCACAGCACCTGCCACCCTCCCCTCCTCGTGGCAACCTCAGCCCGACCCCACCTTCTCGATGAGGTCAATGCAGGGCTGCAGGTCGAGGCCAAAGTCGATGAAGACCCAGTCGATGCCCTCCCGCTTGTACTCCTCCTGCTCCAGCACGAACATGTGCTGGTTGAAGAACTGCTGCAGCTTCTCGTTGGTGAAGTTGATGCACAGCTGCTCGAAGCTGTTGAACTACAAGAGGGAGGCGCCGGGCTCAGCATGCTCCTTGCAGGCGGGACAAGGGGGGCCCTCAGAGGAGCAGGGATGTGCACAAGTTCATCTCCGCCCCACCCGCCCGTGGCCTGCGCGCACCTCAAAGATCTCAAAACCAGCAATGTCCAGGACCCCAATGAAGAACTGCCGGGGCAGCTTTGTGTCCAGCGTCTGGTTGATCCGAGACACCAGCCACCGGAAGAGCCGGTCGTAGGTAGCTTTGGCCAGAGCCCCCACAGCAAACACCACCTGGAAGTGTGGGGAGGCTGGGCTGGGACCTGGCCAGGAAGGGACCCTGCCCCTGCTGTCCCCAGGAGGACCTCAGCCTGCACGCAGCTCACCTGCTCCACACTCTGGCCCTTGGTCACGTACTCATTCCCCACACGCACCCTTGGGTGCAGAAGGCCTTTGAGGAGGTCCCCACTGCTGACCCCCATCAAGTAGGCAGCCTTGTCAGCACCTGGGGGCACACATGGGGGGGGGGTTAATGAGAAGAGGAATACAATATTGTAGGTACAAGAATCTGGCGGGGAGGGGTGCCCTACTGCCTTAGCCTGGGATTGGGAAAGGGAGGCTGAGAATCAAGTTCAAAACCAACAAATTCCAAGGTCCATGAGGGTAGGAGTTGAGGAATCAGGTAAGGACGAGGTCAAATGTTGTGGACAAGAGTTAAGGTTACTGATCCTGAACAGGATACTGAAATCAGGTCAAGGTGAAGCCAGGCCAGGTTCCCTCACTCTCAGTGCCATCAGCCTCAGCTTGCTCTTCCCGCTGCTTCTGCTTGAACTTCATGTTGCCGAAGTGCAGGAGGGCGCCCACAATCTTATAGCAGGCGCATTTCTCATCCACGCTGAAGCCCAGGATGTCCATGGCATGCTGTGGGGCAGGGGACACAGCGGGGTTCAGAGAAGTCTCGGTTCCTGCAGGCTGCAGCCCCACTGACAGCGCTGTCCATCACACCACGCAGCCCACACCCCCGCCCTGCCCGTCCTACGTCGGTGGCGATGAGCTCCTCCCCGTCGTCCATGTTATCCACGGTAATGACGCCCTGGCTGCAGAAGTGGTAGTCATAGGGGTTCATCGACAGGAGCAGCACGTCTGCGGGCACGGGCAGCGGGACACAGCTCAGGGCAGGTCACTGGCTGTTCTCCCTACCCCTCCCAGCAGAGTGAGACCAGGCCCAGGGCCAGCCTAGGGCCCTCTCCAGGCTCCTCTGGAGTTTCTTGTTCCTGCCCCCATGTTCATGGCTTGACTTTCTTTGTGGCTTTCTGGGAAATGAGCTCTGGTCTCCACGTCACACTCTGTCCCCGGACCACTGCTCACAGCCACCCCTCTGGCCAGACCCCAGGCTGGGGACGGGGAAGACCAGAGGGAAGAGAGCGGGGCCTCAGCGGGGACTGGGCCCCCACCGGTGCTAGGAGTGGGGCTGTCGTGACTCAGGAAGGCAGCAGGCAATGAAGCCAAGAGGCCTGTGCTCTGCCACGGCCAGAGTCCCGGCCCGGGGTAGGGGACAGAGTGGGCTCCAAGTCCCCGGGGAGGAAGGGACGGCACAGACCCCAGAGGGAGCAGCCACCTCAGGGCCTGGCGTGATGGGGGCCAGAAATCTCCAGGCAGCCCTTTGGGCTCTTGACTCCAGCCCCTGTGCCCGGCCCTCACCCTGCAGCTCCGGCTTCTTCCCCGAGAGGATCTGGTAGTAGACGTGGTAGCCACGCTCGCCGGGTAGCTGGAAGATGACCCGCGACTTCTCCAGGAGATCTGGGGCAAAGGGGGGCAGTCTACACAGTGGACGCCCCAGCTAGGGGCCGGGGCCAGGCCTGTGTAGGGCACTGCATCCAAGCACAGGCATCTGTCTACACCTCATCTCCAGCCAGTGCAGCCCCACCCCCATCGAGTGCCTGTGTTCGTGTGTGAGACTTGACCTGGAGTTCCAAGGTGGGGAGCCCTTGCTTCAACAGCCCCTCCGTGTGCCCCAGGGTGGTGACAGAGGGCCTGGAGGACGGGGGGCAGGGCAGGAGGCTGAGGCCAGGGGCCTGGGCCAGGTTAGAGAAAGACTGGTGTGGAGGCGGGCACAACCACAAGAGCCTGACAGGCCGCACCAGGATTGGGTCTCTGTTCAGGTGACAGGATCTAGAAGCTTCTAAGCAGGGACAGGGCATGGCCAGCTCAGTATTAGAAAAACTCGCTCCACGTAGAGAAGCAGCTGGTGGGACACTCGGCCAGGCTGACCTGGCCCAGGCGGGGCCGTGGCCAGGGGGTGGAAAGGAGGGCCCAGGGCCGGCAGGGCCCAAAGGACACCACTGCAGGTGCTGAATCCAAACGGAAAGGCTCGGGCCTCCCTGGCCCTCCTGGCCCGACCTCCTCCCAGACTCACAGCTGTCAATGTCTGCTGATGCCAGCTTCCCAGACGGACCAAAGTGAATGCGGATGAACTTGCCCTGTGGGCGGAGGAGCTGGGCTCAGCTAGGGCTCAGCCGGCACGGCCCCGGCACGGCCCCGGCACAGCCCCGGCACAGCCCCGGCATGGCCCCTGCACGGCCCCGGCCCCGGCCCCCAGCGCGGCCACTCACAAAGCGGGAGGAGTTGTCGTTCCTCAAGGTCTTGGCGTTGCCGAAAGCCTCCATGGCAGGGTTGGCCTCGATGATCTGGTCCTCCAGGGTGCCCTGGCCAGGGGTGAGCGGCCCGTCAGCCTGGGGGCCGGGGTAGCCCGCGGGGAAGGGGTGTCCCCGGGACCTCCTGCTTGGTGCCTGCCCCGCTCACACTGGCCCCACACTTACCCCAGTCTTTGTTGCCAGAAATTGCTGGGGGCAAGGAGGACACCATTAGAGGGTGCAAGGTCTCACCAGGAGGGGCAGTGGTTAGCAGTGCAGTGGGTGTTAGTTACCCCAGAGTGCAGCCCCCCACCCTCTTCCCAGCCCAGCCCTCCTTGCAGTGTTCAAAGGAGAAGTGCCAGATGTGGGTGCAAAAACCACTCCAGCCCACATCTGGAGACAGGCGGCTGTGTCTGGGGTCTCCCACTCACAGCCCCCTCTTCCCCCAACTCAGTTTCTGGCCCCCTTGGTATACCTTCACTTTCCACACTCCATGCAGTGGCTCTGCCCCAGGCCCCAGGGACCTGCTAAAATCCACTCCCCTTCAGAGCCCAGCTCAAGTGCCTCCTCCTCCAGGAAGGCTTCCTTGATGCTCTGAGCCTGGAAGAGACCTCTTCCTGCTCTGACCCTTCCTACCCTAATCTCCCCTCTGATAGCCCTTTACACACTTCCCCTTGCACACCTGCTACTGCTCAAAATGGCCCTCCATGTGCATATTATTAGCCCCAATTTGTAAACGAGGAAACTAAGACCCAGTGTAGGGAGGTAATCTGCTCAGGGCAGGCCCAAGCCTGGCTTCCTGGCGCCTACAGCTCCCTTGTGTCTCACCTACGGGGACTCATCGAACTGAGTGGTCTTCCCTGGCCTCTCCTAGCCTTGTCCTTGTCTTCCCTTGCTTTCCTACCCCGGATGCCAGGAGCCAGGGAAGAAGGGGAGGAAGCAGGGACCTGGGACCCTGGGACCCAGGGACAGGGCAGTGCTGCCAGGGACCTTGTGGCCACTGGTCCATCCACCACCAGGGAGCCCAAGACTGCAAATGCACCAGAGGCACTGCTGGGAAAGCCTGGCAGGAGCCCCTCCCCACACACTGCTGTCCAGTGCCCATGGGCGGGGCTCCCCCCCCCCCCCGGCCTAGGTGGCCAAATCTGGGGCTGCAGGGGAGCTTTTAAATTCCCACAGCCACGGCACCTGTGGGCAGCCGCCGCCTCCTCTTCCCCACCCGCGCCCCTGGCCTCAACAGTCAGGCTCCTTTCTGCCTAGGTGGTCCCCTGTCCCCTGTCCCCAGCCTCCCCACTGTGTCCCTGCCAGCCCTGGCCTCTCCTCGCCATCTTTTCCTGTCCCTGCAGCATCCCCAGAGACCATTGGAGGGTCCGGAAAACAGGGCAGGAAAGGGAGGGAGGAAAGAGTCCCAAAAAGTCAACAGCAAAAACAAAACAAAAAACAAAAACAACAATCACCGCAACAAAAAACCAAAACGGAAACAAAAATCAAAAACCAAGAAAATCAAAGGGAGAAAAAAGGAAAAGGAAAAAAAAAAAAGGTGGAGGGAAAAATAAAAGAAAGAAAAAATGCCCCAGAATAAAGCAAGGCTCAACTGGACCAGGAATGGAGGCTCTGGGCTTCTGCAGGGAAAGGCAGCCAGTCTGAGTGGGTGGGGGAGGAGTGGAGGCTCGGAGCTCAGAACAGCTGGTCCTCAGGCTAGGAAGAGACCAGTGCGCCCTCAAAACAAAAGCAACTTGGTCCTCAGTGTTTAGAGAATTTCCCCAAACAATGCAGAAAGCACAGAGGTGCCCCCCACCCTGGCTGCTGGGAACGTGGAAGACCCTGGGTCTGGCTGGTCTCTGGGGACAAGCCTGGGCCCTCCACTGACAGCGGGTCACCATCTTCAGTGCAGGAAAACCGGGGAAACAACCATTTGTGATAAAAGCGGCCTCCCTGGGAAACTTTCAAAATACGAAGGTCACATGGAGGAGAAAAACTATGCAAAACGCTCAGGAACAGCAGTGCGGGGCTGCTCTGGGCCAGGAAACGGGATGCCCGGCCTAGCAGTAGCCATGGCCTTGCTGGTCAAGCCTTGCTCAGGCCAGAGCCTCCCACCAGGGTGGGGGGCTCAGGCAGGGCCGGGGACTCTGGGGAGTCAAACTTTTAAAAAGAAAAAAGGGAGGAGAAACAAGAAAAACAGCAGAAAGCAGCAGGGAGCGGTGCCCAGTGGGCAAGTCTTACGGCCTTCTTGCCCGGCCCATCTCCCAGGGCAGCGACGATGGCAAAGTACTGAATGACCCGCTTGGTGTTAACCGTCTTACCGGCCCCCGACTCTCCGCTTGGACGACACAAACATCAGTCACCAAGGCCCATCTGGCCTTCCTACCCTCCCTCAACCCCCAACCCCCCCATCCCTGCAGCAGGGCTCCCCCTCCCCCCGGCTCAGGACCCCTAGGGATGGACCCATCCTCAGAGGTGGTGTGTGCTAACCACGCCAGTGTAGACCAGCCCTGGGCGATGAGGACACTAGTCACGCTGCCACTGTTACCAGGCATTAACCTAGCGGCAGGTGTGGGCCAAGCACCCCTCCCCCACCGGCTCTGCCACGCTTTAGAAGCCAGTTTTATGGATCAGGATCCTGCTGTGCTCCAGGTACAATTACCCATGACTCCTTACAACCCTGCAAGGTGGCGGGGAATGTTCCCACTTTCACGGTGAGGCTCAGAGGCCCAGGAACACTGAGCAGGAAGCAGCAATCTGAGAACTTGAACCCAGGCCTATCTCATTTCAAAACCCTTGCTCTTAGCAATCAGGCTGTGTGTGTGCACTCGCACACTCATCCATATTGTCTTGGGTTAACGTGGCCTTAGCAGGTAAGAATTCTACCACCTTCCCACCTGTGCGCAACCCCACAGAACCAAGGTGGGAGGTGCCGCGGGCTGGTGATCACTCTGTGCTTGGGCTCCCATACCCACGCATCTGCCCAGAACCGGGCAGGGAAAATGCTCAGGCCGGGTGAGCTTCAGCTGCGACGCTGGCTCCAGGTGGTAAAAGCCCTGCCCTCAGCACTTGCACTCCACCAGGAGAAACCACGTGGTTCCAACCCCTTCCCGCCTGACGGCCAGCATTTCCCACCCAACCCCGCCCCCAACACACTCACGTGATCAGCATGGACTGGTTCTCTCGGTCTGGAGGAAAGGGGGAAAAGGGGATGGAGAAGTCAGCCACAGTGAGGGGCCAGCCGGCGAATACCTTGGGTATGCCCCCCCCAACCCCAGGGGCAGAGATGGAAAGGGCCAGGTGGGAGGGTCCAGACTCAACTCTGGAGGCCCGTGCGAGTGGAGGGAAGAGGGTCCTTAACGGGGCTCCCTGGAGCCGGGGCGGGGGTCCTGGAGGGGCCCTTACTGCGCAGCATGTCGTTGTAGGCGTTATCCGCCACCGCATATATATGGGGCGGGGACTCCGAGCGGCGCTTCCCCTTGTAAGCGGCCACCACAGAGGCCGTGTAGACCGGCAGCCACTTGTAGGGGTTGATGGTGACACAGAAGAGGCCTGAGTAAGTCTGAGGAGAGAGCCGAGAGGTAGGGCTTTTGGGGAGTGGGGAACGCCAAGTTCCCACGCCCGGGCCTCAAGTCCTCACAAAGTAACTGCTGTGATATTCCTCAAGGAGCCATTTGATATGTCTCGCCACACCCCAGGAGGCCCCTAGGAGGCCCCCCTGGCCTTGTGCCAGCCCCAGCCCCACAGCTCAGCCTCGAGCCCCGCCCCTGCTGCTGTAGCTCCGCCCCTCCAGTCCTCTAGTCCTCCCTCAAGCTCCAGCTAGCCCTGCCCCCAGGTCAAGGCCTCGTCTCTACAGCGGCCTCTGCCAAGCCTGTAGTCTCGCCTCTGCCGCTGAGCCCCGCCCCTTCAGTCCCGGGCAGTCCCAGGTCATGGGGCCGCCCCTGCGGCCCGGGACACCACCCCGCCGTATCTCTGGCTCTTCTCCATCCCTCACACCCCCAGTCCCCTCCTGGCCTTGGCTGTTCCTGGACCCCTGCCTCTATCATTACAGTTCTGAGACTACAGCCCAGAGGCGTCTCCTTCCGGTTTCCCTCTGGCCCCGCCCCCCGGCCCTTGGCTCACGTAGATCATCCAGCGCGCATAACGCTGACGCAGGTTGTGCAGCACGGCCGCCTCATTGAGGTGGGTCATCATGGCCATGTCCTCGAGCAAGTCGAAGCGGGGTGGGTTCATGGGCTGCACTTCGGTTTCGCGAATTGTCAGCACCTGCCGGGGAGGCCTGGCGTAAGGTGTTGTCACCTTACCTCCCACCTCCAGACCCCTTTATCCACAGTGCAGATTCCACCGGCCCACAGCTGTGCCCCCGGGACAGAGGGGCTCAGCTCAGGAAGGGGCAGTTGAACCTTCTGGTCTCTGGTCTCCACGGTGACTCTGCCTCCAGTTGCCTCCGACTTGACCTCCGCCTCCACGTAGGCGTCCTGCTCATCAGGCACCCAGACTCGTTTCTTCCCTGTGTTGCGGAGAGAGGGATCCACTGGTACTTTCAAAGAGGCTGAAGTACCTTCAGGGGTCCAGCGGGAGCTCCCCAGCTGTGTCGGTAGAGCTGTGCCCCAGTGAGGAACCCTCCAAACCCAGGCTCCTAGCAGGGCAGAGCTGGCAAACCTCCCTACACACAGCACCTCCACCCTGGGGAGCACAGGCAGGGTTGTACACTTGGGTTCAGATCCCCGCCTTCAGCCATTTTTGCCCTTCAACTTGAGGCAAAGCCCTCCTTCCTTCTGGGCGTGTCAAAAGTCACGGGACTATCTTGTGGTCCCCTAACATCCAGCACAGAGCTCTGGGGTTCCACATCCCCCATTTCACTGAAGACTCAAACTCAGGTCTCCTAGTTCTGTCCTTTGCTTCCTTCCACACCGCCAGCGGGCCTCAAAGCATCAGGGAGGCCAAATTTTGTGGTGGCTAAACACACGCCCCTGGGGCAAGTTGTTTGGTGCAGAGGGCAAGCTAAAGCTTAAGACGGCTGCGTCCAGGATTGGAGCACCTGGGCTCCAGGTGCAGTTCTGCTCTCTGTTCCAGCTTCCTCTGGTGCGCACCCTGGGAGGCAGCAGTTGGTGGCTTAAGTGGTTGGGTCCCTGCCACCCACATGGGAGACCTGGACTGAGCTCCTGGCTCCTGGCTTCAGCTTGGCCTACCCCTAGCTGTTGCAGGAATCTGCAGGAGTAAACCCACAGAGAGGTGATCTTTCTCTTTCCCTCTCTCTGCCTTTCAATAAATAAATGAAAATTAGGAAACAAAAACCCAGGGACTCGGGCAGCAGACCATCAAGTTCTAGCCCCTGCCCTGCCACTTTGCAAGTGCACTGGTCTCAGGACCACCTACATGACTTGCAGGCCCAAGTGCAAAAATGATCACTGGGACCCCTTGTTTACAGTTGTTGAAACACGTTAAGATGGCAGCAGCAGAGCACTGGATTGTGAGGCCTTTCCGAGTGCGGTGCCCTGTGCAACTGCAGAGGTCGCACGGACAGGAAGCTGGCTCTGGCCCTCCGCGCCCCAGGTGGGCGAGATGATGCATGGAAAGTCATCTGCTCTGGACCTGCACACGAAGAGCAGGCGATACACATTGTCTACTGTTATTATCGTCCTATGAGCAAACCAGGTCATAAATAGTACTGTCTTTATTCCTGTCCCTAATAAACAGTGGCTCTGGCTCTGTAGAAAGCACTAAAAATAACTACAGCATGGGTTGTATAGACACATGGAGACACATGTCTGAGTCCCAGACGACAATTCAAGGAGACAGCTGGTATTACCCCATTCTACAGAGGGACAAACTAAGGCTCCCTTACACACACACACACACACACACACACACGTGCACAGTGTATCTGGGACTCTAGCCTCCAGACCCCAGACTCTGAAGGAAAGTCTCAGGCTGACGCTGTCACCAGAGTGCTCCTTCAGCTCTGAGCTGAGGGCACCTCCTCCCCACTGCTGGTCTCAGTCCACAGGGTCCCTCTGGCTGTGCGCCCTCCTCCTCTGCCTTCACTTACCATCCCACGGGACGGTATGCACTTTCATGGTCTCCTGGCGGAGGTAACGGGCAGACTCCCCAAGTTCACTCACATCCATCATAGCGGTGGCACTGGGAGACGGAGGAAGAAGAACTGGCAATCTCAGAGGTTCGAGGTGGTCCAAGGGAACAGGCACTGGAAGACGGTGGTGACGAGGGAACGAAGTGACCAAAGGTTCCAAACTGGGGCATGGTCCTCCACCCCACAAGGCCTGATCCCAGGTGACTCCCTGGGGCTCCCCAGCACAGCCTCCCTTGGTGACCCCCAACACGTGCACTCCCTCAAACTCTGCGGCATCTTCTCCTGTACAGCCTCACCTACCGGCCCACCCTTTCGCCCTCCTTTCAGCCCCCATCCCAGCCCTGATCACCCACCTCAGCCCCACGATGAGGGCAGGGAGCTGTGCAACCCCTTTTATTGCCGCTGTCAAGGTCAGCGGAGGAGAGCTATGTCAGCAATCTCCACGTGTCCCAGCCCCCCCCAAGCCTGGCCACAGGACACAAAAGGCAAATTCCCTTTTATCTCCACCAGCACCGGCCCCTGGGCTATTTTTACCTCCCATTGTCAGGGGATCACAAAGGCAGAGAGAGACACTCTGCTGGGAGACAGAAGGCTGGGATTCAGGGACTGGGGGTAGGGGTGCGGGGTGGGCAGAGCCAACACAGGGAGAGATCTGAGATGACGGAGGAGCTCACAGAGAAAAACTGAGTCACAGAGAGTCTGATACTTTTGGAAATAGACAGCAAGGAGACGGAGCAAGGGGACCACAGAACATCCTCTGGGGCCAGCCAGCCCAACCCTCTTTCTGCATCTTGGGAAACCTGAGGCCCAGAGGAAGGAGAGGACTGGCCAAGTCTCAGGGACCAGCAGCGGCAGGGACTGGGTCAGAACAAGAAGAGGAGAGTGAGACACCTCTCTACTACAACAACTGGACACAGTCCCCTTCTCCCCTGCCCTTATCCCAGCACCCTCTGGGGAGATTACACCTGAAGAAAATCAGACCTGGAACCACACAAGGAATGATTTGGCTGAAGAGGAAGCAAATGGAGGACTTTTGAACCAATCAGGAGCCCCTTCCTATTCTGACACAGGATTCACAGAACGCACCTTTCTGCACCCGACTCTGTGTTGTCCCAATTTTAGTATATGTGCTGCCCAAGTGAGCATCTCAACACGAGCCGGAAGTGCTGGCACTCGGCCCGTCGCCCCTATTCCGGCATCAGACCACATCAGGGCACTGCCAGATTCGCCTGCACGGCACCCTGGCAGGGCTTGGTGATGCGGTGGAGTTTCAGAATCTGCCGTGCCAAGAGCCTTAGATGCCAGAACTACAGAGTTCCAGAGCCAAGCTTCCAAGCAGACGTTCCACAGGGCCCAGGGGCCACCCATTCCAAACATGCTGGCGGGGAGGGGAGCAGGAAAGCTACACAGACATCATTCCAACGATACATTTGCAATCACCTACAGCTCAGAGCAGGCGAAACTGGCCCACGGCTACAGAACTGGGTGATGACCACACCTCCGCAAGACAGGAAAATGCTCAGGCATGGGGCCGAGCGGGGTTGCACGAGTGTGGGTGCCATATAGGATGTTTGCAGCTATGCATGTAACACGGGTAAGCTTACAGTGTGTGAGCTATGTGAAAGCTGTAAAGAAAGAGATGCACTGCCAAATGTGACAACGTTACAAACACGCAGACCTCTGCAAGAATTAACCCTGCAGGAATTCCCCACGTTATGAAATGATACAGGCCCCTGGGGGGCATTCCGATTATTTCCAGTCTGCCCTCAGGGCTGTGGTGAATATCTTCACACTCTTATCAATTTTCACATAGCGTGTTCACAAAAGATGATCCTCCTCCGGTCCTCTTTCAGATAATACCCCTCCCCCAGGGTAAACCAATCCCAACTTCTACCCTTACAGATGATTTCTGCTCTCAAAACATGTCCCTTTATTCTCTCAACATTATATTTGTGAGAACATTATTGTTTCTTTCCACAGGGCTCTACAGGGTTGGCCCTTGGTCTACATCCTTAGTGTCCTGCAAAGTGCCTGCTTCAACTACTAGAAAGTCAGTAAGTCCCTAGATACAAAGTCAAAGATGGATGGATGGATGGATAATAGATGGGCAGACAGATAACAGGGTTTAATCTTTCTGTTGGGCCAGAAGCTGGGTAGCTGGGTTTGAGTAATTTATCAGCAGCCCACAGGGTCCATAGGTGCTCATACTTCAGGGCTTTTTTTTTTTTTAAAGATCTGTTTATTTATTTATTTGAAAGTCAGAGCTATGCAGAGAGAGAGAGAGAGAGAGAAAGGGAGAGGGGGGCTGGCGCCGCAGCTCGCTAGGCTAATCCTCCGCCTTGCGGCGCCGGCACACGGGGTTCTAGTCCCGGTCGGGGCGTCGGAGTCTGTCCCGGTTGCCCCTCTTCCAGGCCAGCTCTCTGCTGTGGCCAGGGAGTGCAGTGGAGGATGGCCCAGGTACTTGGGCCCTGCACCCCATGGGAGACCAGGAGAAGTACCTGGCTCCTGCCATCGAATCAGTGTGGTGCGCTGGCCACAGCGCGCCAGCCACGGTGGCCATTGGAGGGTGAACCAACAGCAAAGGAAGACCTTTGTCTCTGTCTCTCTCTCACTGTCCACTCTGTCAAAAAAAAAAAAAAAAAAGAAAAGAAAAGAAAGGAAGAGAGGGAGGGAGAGTCTTCCATCTGCTGGTTCACTCCCCAGATGGCTACAACAGCTGGAGCTGGGCTGATCTGAAGCCAGAAGCTTCCTCCAGGTCTCCCATGTGGGTACAGGGGCCCAAGGACTTGATCTGTCTTCCATTGCTTTCCCAGGCCATAGCAGAGAGCTGGATTGGAAGTGGAGCAGCCAGGACTTGAACTGACGCACGCCCATATGGGATGCCAGCACTGCAGTGACTTTACCTGCTATGCCATAGCGCTGGCTCCTTCAGGACTTTTGCCCTGAAGAATCAGAGCTTCTAACAAGCCTTGCCTATTCCAAACATAATGTGGGTCTGATTTCCAAAATTACCCAGTATAGAAACCTGGGGCTGAGATATCACCTCCCCCCAAAAAATTGGGTCTGGAACTGCCCTATAGGTTAACTTCCACTACTGCTGAGATGAGCCCACAGATAAACAGGGTGAAGAGGAAACTCAGTGCCCTCAGAGATGCACAGTGACTATAACCTCTAAGAACCTTAGGGACCGACTTTAAATACCTGCAGAGCTGTCCCACCGCAGAGGAAGCCTTTGTGATCCATGTGGCCTCAAGAGAAGACCAAAGGACAGGGACAAGGAAGCAGAGATTGGATGCAACACAAAGGAGGATTTTTTCAAGCTCTGGGCCAGCCAGCAGTGGGAGAGGCTGCCTTGGAGAACAGTGAGCCTGCCAACACCAAGCAGCGCCAGGCAGGTTTGCAGGGCTGGAGGCTGTAGACAGACTGGCCTCTGAAATCCCAGATTTTCAGAATGCAGCTGCAAATATGAAGGAGCTTCAATTAGTGTATGGAAAATGGAATTAAAAGATTTTGGTGCAAGTTTTTTAAATCTGTACATATAAGGGGTCTACAAGAAGTTACTGAAAAATGCATATTATGGGGTAGGCACTTGGTACAGTTCAGATGCTGCTTGGATCACCTGCATCCCACATCAAAGAGCCTAGGTTCCAGTTCCCTCTAGCGCACATCCTGGGACAAAGCAGATGATGGCTCAAGTACTCGGTCTCTGCTACCCATGTAGGAGACCTGGATTGGGTTTTGGACTCCTGGCTTTGGACCAGCCCAGCCCATCTGTTGCAGATATTTGGGGAGTAGAAGGAAGATCTCTGTTTCCCTTTCAAAGAAAATAAAAATAAATTTTTAAATGTATAATATAGAAAAAGTATGTATGAGTTCAAAATTTTTGTATCACAATAAATGTCTTTCAGTTCCATTTTTTTAAAGATTTTTATTTATTTGACAGAGTTACAGACAGCAAGAGAGACAGAGAAAGGTTTTCCCTCTGTTGGTTCACTCCCCAAATGACCGCCACGGCTGGAACTACGCTGATCAGGAACCAGGAGCCAGGAGCTTCTTTCCTGGTCTCCCACGCGGGTGCAGGCGCCCAAGCACTCGGGCCATCCTCCACTGCCTTCCCAGACCACAGCAGAGAGCTGGACTGGAAGAGGAGCATCCAGGGCTAGAACCTGGGGCCCATATGGGATGCCGGCGCCGAAGGCGGAGGATTAAGCTAGTGAGCCACTACGCCAGCCCCTCAATTCCATTTTATAAGACATTGATTTATTTGAAAAGCAGAGTGACAGAGAAAATGAACAGGGTATCTTCCATCACTATTTTACTCCCCAAATAGCTGTAACAGCCAGGGCTGGGTTAGGCCACAGCTGGAGCCAGGAACTCCCTCCACATCTCCCACATGGGCAGTAGGAGTTCAAGCACTTGAGCTATCTTCTGCTGCCTTCCCAGGCACATTAGCAGGAAGCTAGATAAAAAGTGGAATAGCACAGACTCGAACTGGCACTAGATATGGGATGTTGGCACAAGTGTGAATTTAAGAGATATTTATTTGAAAGGCAGAAGTATACATAGAAAGGGAGGCACATGCGCATACAGACACACACAGATCTCCATCCACTGGTTCACTCCCCAGATGGCAACAGGTGTGGCTGGGCCAGGATGAAGCCAGGAGCCTCATCCAGGTCTCCTTTAACCTGTGGCACAACTTTAACCTACTGTGCCAAAACACTGGCCTTCCAATTTTTTCTTTCTCTCTTTTAATTATTTCTCTTATTTGAGAAGTAGCAAGAGAAAGAATGATAAAGAGAGAGCAAGCTCCCATATACTGGTTTATTCCCCAGATGCCTGCAACAGTCCCCAGCTGGGGCCAAAGCCAAAAGTGAAGAACTCAGTCCAGGTCTAGTGACCAGGTCTCCCACATGACACAATCACTTGAGCCATCCCCGATGCCTCCCAGGGTGTGCATTAGCAAGAAGCTGGAATCTGGAGCAGAGTTGGGACTCAAACCCAGGCACTGTGGCATGGAATGAGAATGACCTAACCAGTTTCTTAACCACTGTGCTAAATGCCCACCCCTAATTCCATTTTTCCATGAACTTTTTGGAACACCCTTGTATGTATGTCTGCCACCAATATACCCCAGGGCCTGGGATTCCTTCTTTGGGTACAGACAAGGCAGAACTCTGTGCAAATGCTACTGCATGGAGGATGGCCCAAGTGCTTGGGCCCTGCACCCGCATGGGAGACCAGGAGAAGCACCTGGCTCCTGCCTTCGGATCAGCGCGGTGTGCCGGCCGCAGCGCGCCAGCCGCGGCCATTGGAGGGTGAACCAACGGCAAAGGAAGACCTTTCTCTCTGTCTCTCTCTCTCACTATCCACTCTGTCAAAAAAAGAAAAAAAAAAAAAAAGAAAAGAAAAAGGAAAAAAATATGCTACTGCAGCAGGAGGAACACGTGAATTCCACTCCACACACTTCTGCATCCAGGACTGAAGCTAGGGTTGCTCACGGTTCAGGAAAGGAGAGATACTCAAGGGAGAGGTTGGAATGGAGGAGTTTGGAGGATAAAAGCCAAGTTTGACACCCAGACTGCCAAAGATGAGGGCGTGACAATAAAGTCCCTTCATTCATAGCACTGACAATCCCCTGGGAGGCAAAAAAAAAAACAAACAAGCAAATATGTTTTTGAAGACAAAGAATGTGACAGGTGCTAGGAAGGAAATAGAGCAAAACTCTGGAGGGTTACGGGGGTGGCCTGGGAGTGCCCCCTCTGAAGAGATGCCATTTAAGGTGAGGCCAGGATTCAGAACCAGCAGGAGGAACAGAAAATACAAAAGCCCTAAAGGAGAAAACAGCTTGGGACATTTGTGGCACTGTCCCTGTGAACAAGAACAGTTTCACTAGACGATGTCAGACAGGCACGAACATTCAGAGTCTAGGAGGGCTTGAAAGGGGTGCTAGCTTTGACTGCAGGTGCAGTGGGAACCTGTCAAGGCAGGACAGGAAGTGACCCCAAGTTTAATAATCACCACTCTGGCTGCCATGTAGCGAACAGACTGAGAGGGGCTGAAGAGACAGCCGAGGAGCAATGAAGAGGTTGCTGTGGTTGTCCAGGTGAAAGAGGATGGGCTGGACAGGTGGATGCACTGGAGGTAGGGGCAGAGGATGGAGAGAATGGACCGCAAGTCCAAAACGAGAGGGAAAGAAGGCAGCCTGACCTGCCACCCTGGCTGAGGCCGGGCCCAGAGGCATGGAGGGAGGTGAGCTTGACCTGCACAATTGGGGCTAGACTCCGAAGGGCTTCGGACACCAGATTAGGACTTGAGCTCCACCCTGCAGGAGCTGGGGCACCATCAAAGGCATTTTTATTTATTTTTTCATCAAAGAGCTCTGAGCAAGGGGATCTGACAGTGTGGTCAGATTTATGTGCTTCTCAGATCCTGGTGGCAGCTGGTGTGGAGGGTGGCTGAAGAGGCGAGAACCGGTGGCAGGAAGACTTTCTCAGGAGGAGGCCGCCTTGACAGCCATGTGTGAGATGGTGAGGCCCAAAGAGGGGCCCACCATCCTGGCACCCTGGGGGTGGCTGGGGCCCTGCTTGCCCCAGGTTTCTCCCCTCCTGGGGCCCTGGGCAGCTGCAGAACACCCGAGTAGGCCCCGGCTCTGAGGCTTCCAGCAGAAAATAGGATGAGGGCATCCAAAAGGCATCAGAGCTGTTTATCCGGAGCAGAGATGCCTCAGCATGGATTTATGGATGAAAGGTTACGGGGGAGGGCAGGGGAACCAGCTGTCCCCCATCCTCACAAAGGGCAAACAAAGGAGGGGACTGTGGCCTCAGCTACAGCTGGAGCAGGGGGAAGGGCCCTCGAGTAATCACACAAACCAAATCTCTCACTGAACAGTCAGGTAAACTGAGGCACAGGGGGAGAGGCAGGTCCTTGCTCAAGGCCACATATGCTAGATCCACTAGCACAACCTCTTGCTTCTAAAGACCCCGGGGCTCCCAGAGCACTCAAGAGGGCACCTGAGACCAGCCCAGAGGGGCTTTGGGATGCGCCCGTTCTGAGAGAAAGTGCATGGCAGCTGTCCTGGCAGGATGGGAGGGGGAACTGGTGCAGGACCTGGGGCCCTGGGCCCCGGCACCTGCTGTTTGAGTTCAAGCTTTGGTTTAGATCCTCATTGTGCTGACAGCTCTGTCTCCACCCACACCCCCAACCAGTCTCAGTGTTTCCAGCACTTGGTGGGACTCTTATCTCTCTCAAGGGTCTTGATCTTTTGGGGGTAAGTTGTCCCTCTGCCCTCTGAGACTCTGTATTTCTCTTAGACTCTATCTCTCTGGCCAGCCTCCCACCTCCAGTGGGCCCTCACTGCTAAGAGTAACTCTAGGGAGACAATGCTTGGGCCCAGTGCCCAGGCAGGGACAGGTGACAGCAGCTGTGAGCCTATCTATAGCTCCCTTGCCCTTCAATTGTTCCAAACTTCAAACAATGGTTGGGCCCAGGATTAGAGACATCCCCCTGCCAACCCCACTGAAATGGATCCCAGGGGGCAGGTGATGAGGCTCATGAGGGCCACATGGTGATCTCTCAGCGCCACCCACTTTTGTCTGGACCCCTTTGCTCCCACCAAGAACTCTGGGCTCTCAAGCCTTCTGGCTCAGAGGCTGTGCATCCACAGGACTCATGGGTACAGGACCAGCAGCGGCCAGTGTGTGTGTGGGCCCATGGGACTCACGGGTATAGAACCAGCAGCGGCTGGGGTGTGTGTGTGTGTGTGAGTGTGTGTGTGTGTGCATGTGGGTGACATGGGTGGGTCCTCCTCCTGTTGCCTCAACTAACAGACACAGCAGTGAGATGCCAGCTGCGCAAGGGCAGAGACAGGGGCTTCCTAATACTCTGCTGCATCCTAGCCTCGGCCTGGCATGTGGTAAGTGTGCATATACATTTTGCCCTGGGGCCCTGAGGGAGAGGGAGGCAGCAGAGAGCAGTGATAACACCTTAGCTAAGTTAGACTGCCTGGATTTGAATCCTGGCTCAGTCGATGACCAGCTGGGAAATCTCGGAAAATTACTTAACCCCTTCCCAGGGGGGATCCATAAACAGTACCTTCCTCACTGGGCTGAGGTGTAGAATCTATGAGTTCGAGCCCCTGAAGTGCTCAGAATAAAGCCTGGCACTAGTGCAGAGTCAGTAAACCAGTTATTTCCCAACAGGTCATTACATAAAATAAAGTGAGGAGAACAACGCCTGGGCCATGCCATCACCTGCATGACATGGGAGCCAGCCAGGATCTGCACTGAGGTGTTCAGCTGTGGACAGAGCATGGTGGAAAGGCCCTCGAGGCTGGGGCCGGTGTAAACACACAGAATTTTTCCTTTTGCTTACCCTTCTCTATCTTTTGAATCACATGTACGTAGAACCCACTTGTGACATGTCTGCT